ATCACTTAAGAAATTGGCGCAAAATTTATAATACTTAATTAACTTATTTCATTGGCATATCATATGATTCAAATTTAAAATCTTTCACTTTGACAAAAAAAGATTAGTAGTAAACTACTTAAGTTGTTAGCAAAATATATAACACCTTTATATGTATATATATATTGGTTGCACAATAAGAAGTAACTTTCTTCCATCTCTTACCTACCCCACCTCACCCCATCGTACCCCACTTGTATATCATATGACTCAAATTTAGGATTTCTTATTTTCAATGAAAAAAAATTACAACTAAACCACTTAAGAAGTTGGTGCAAAATTTATAATACTTAATTTTTCTTTTGCAAAATCGTATGTTAAGCCCTTGAACTAATCCCAAATTTGCCATTGAGCCCTTAAACTTAATTGATGCATACAAGCCCCTGGACTCCATGTTTGAACAATTGAGCCCTTAATTCTTTAACTACCATAAGAATAAGAATAAGGGCTAAATTGCTCAGATTGTAGCATCTAGGGGCTTATATACATCAATTAAAGTTTGAGGGCTTAATAATGAATCTGGATTAGTTTAGAGGCTTAACATATGGTTTTGCCTTTTCCTTAATCGTCATTAACTGTGGTGTACACAGTTTCCCGGCATTTTCTTTTCTTTATAAAGCAGGGCCAATCCTGTGGCACCCAGTCCAAACTCCAAAGGCCGCACAAGCCCAAACATTGTTGAGAAACAACCAAAGCCATCCCATCGTCCAATTTGTCCAGGGTGTGGCATATATTCATAAAATGGAAAGCTATACTATAGTTTTACTACATCATATCATATATGTCAAAGTACATTCTCGGAACCTTAATCTTTAGCACTAACTGTTCAAGATCAAAACTATATTCCATGCACATATATAGCTAAAGAAATTAACAAGATCAGAATGTTCTATTCTTGTATGAATGTATGCCTCTAAACGGGACTTGCACCAGAGAGATAATGCGTAAATTAATTCAAATACTGCATACCCTGCTTCAAGCGATTCAGCAATAAGATAAAGTAAAGAAGATTATTGGTTTTGGGAAGATGAGCCATCCTGGCCCTTGTCTTTTCCTTTTGGCTTCCTCATCAAATCAAGTTGTCTCTGATTTTGCCGTATGAATCTATATATTTATGTCCTACAAAAAGCAGATTGTTCGCTTTATCAAGCAGAAACCAAGGTGGCCACTACCTATCCCCATTCCCTTCCCCGTTGGATTTCCTGTCCCCCCGGCCCCCTATTTTGCTGTTACATTAATTAATTAGTTAGATAATCATGTCTTAATTTATTCTACATTATCTTATGGAGTAGTTAGCTGAGGTTAAGACAATCTTAAACAATTGTACAAAGATTACATCAGAGCTAGTAATCTGATAAGATCTACGATAAAATTAATAATTATTGGTAAGATGTTTATATAAAAATATATCCCTGCTCCCTCCTATAAAAACATTTTCAGCCATATTTGACCAAACATAATCTACACATATCTCTTGTTATAGAAACAAGACCAATTGCATGCATCCAGACATATATGTTGCTAAGGTTATCCGGCACTGGTCATGACCGAATCAGACAAAGTTCACGTTGAAAATCTATAATGCTGAGGTAAAGAACATGACATTATATTATAAACTCAGGTTAATTAATCAATATTTATTGATTTGTAGTGAAAGAAGAGGAGTTGAATTGAGTATATAATTAAAAAATTGAAAAGAGGACTGAATTCAAAATCTGGTCGGTGATATTGAGACCCCAAAAAGAAGCTTCCTAGCTGAAATCTTAAAAGGAATGAAAGCAATCAACAAGAAAATAATACTATATTATATAAAATTATTGTTGGGGAAGCAAGTTAATTAGTTTGAGCACAGTATAAATATTAGAAAAGTAAAAATTAAAACATTTTAAAATTTAAAATAGCATAGCATTTAATTATAATCACTTATAATAAATAAAACTTAAGTAAAACTAATATTATATTTTACTTATTTTGTGATTTTAATTGAAGGTCCCAATAATTATGCACTGTGCTGGAAACTAAGGAACAAAAGAGGAAATGCAGAGGGCATGGGGGGAAATTTGGAGGGTCCCCATGGATAAAAGTACTTGCCAAATGTCACGTCTGTCCGGATCCAGGTTTTATGGGATTCTCTTCAATCTTCTCCCTCCCTCCAACATGTCGTTTCATTTCTCTTGGTCGGTCGTTTTGATCACAGAACCACCCCACCTTCAAACATTCACCTTTTAACTACTGTTTAATCCCTTGAGACTTTATTAAAAAAAAAAAAATCCCTTTAGACTTGTGAACAGAATCTCGTACTAAAATTTCCTCTGAGTACAATTCTAATTTCTTATGAAAAACGTATACGTATGTACAAATCTAATTTATAGTAGTAATAATTATAGTTTCGTGATCTTATTTGCTTGTAGCAATTGTAAATAGTCTTTTTACTCGACGGATCTCTTAATTTATAATATGTCTACGTGGTTCCGGTTCAAAAAAATAATATGTCAACGTGATCAACGTAATGTGTTTTTTTATTAAATTTACAAAATTTTGTTTAAATCAATAATTTTTTTTGATAAAAATATTTATCAATCAAATTTATAGAACAAATTTGATAAAAAAAAAAAGTTCAAAAACTTTTTGTTAAATAAAACATTGCAAAAAATGACTCAAATAATTTTATTTTGGCCTTGATAATATTTTATTTTAGTCTTTTTGAAATAATATTTTATTAAACTTGTATAATTTTATAATATTTATTTCTCTAAATTTTTTTATAAATTTGGTCGATGTGCACTGGTCTCATTTCTTTAAGTTTATATAAAAAAAAAACTTTTTAAATACAAAATGTATAAATTTTAAATTTTTTTGTAATATTTTATTGAGTACCTAATTTTATAATTTTTTTACTTAGTTCTTTTACAAGTTTAACTATGAAATACGAACCTCTTTTTTTCTTTTTTTCTTTTTTCAAGTTGCATAAAAAGCTCTACGAATACACAACTCAATAGGTTTTCTTTGAACAAATGCAATTTGAAGAGAGAGAATGAAGCCCGACCTCACGAGCATTAGGGTGGGGTGCACTTTTAAGATTTTACCAAGCCAAGCGGCTTGAACAATTGAAAGCAATCAGATTGTGTCATTAATTAAGCAGTACAAAGATAAGGTGAATCCTTAAATTTTGTACATGAAAGAAGATTTTCTGGTAATAGATAGGAAGGTCCCCCCCTTTCTTCCATCCCTCCCTTCCATAGAATCCGACGGGGGCCCTCCTTTGGCTTTGGACATTATTTCCCCTGAAATCGTGTGGCCATTTTGTTTTCTTTTCTCCACGATGTCAACTGAATTCGGGAGATCTAGCATTAAACCTATCTTGTCCAATCAACTTGAATAATCTGGCCATGAGATCCAATCTTAGTCCTGTTATAAAACAATTTCTTTTTTTATTTACTATTGAAGTGTATTTATTTAGACCAATTTTAACATAACCTGACATTAATTTCTTTCCCCAAATAATATTAAGTAAACATTTGGTGGATAATTTTT